CTGATAATACTGGAGTTGCTGGAGGGTTATGGCAGTCTTTGAAAATAAAACTTCATTACACTGGCATGGAGAGGTGCAGTTTAATCCTCTTTGGAAGCTGGTCCTGCAATCCTACATTTTAGAAAATTGCTGAAAGCCATTGTGCTTTTGATGGGAATTGGTCATTAACAGTACAGGTGCAGACCATACAACAGGCAGTGTCAGCACAACCCCTTCCCACATTTTCTGGTTCTTAGGAATTCTATCTGATAATGACAGAAGCAGGTTGTAACAGCACCTTTTTGCCATGGATTAAGTTGCTCATTTGGAGATCCAAGACAGACACTTTCCTCTTTAGGACTTAATTTCCTCTGCATGTTAAAAGAAAGGAAAAAACACATCACTTTCTTCCTATATCTGAAAAGTTACTTTACCCTTACTTTCCTACAGACCCTTTCTCATTTGTATGAACTCAATACTTAACAGAATTGCTATATGTTGTTGGCATAAACAACAAATTTAATACAGCATTTAAATCAAAGTGTATTGAGAAGGTTATGGAGCAGATCATCTTGAGCACTATTACATGGCATGTACAGGACAACCAGGTGATCAGGCTCAGTCAGCTCGGGTTTATGAAAGGCCGGTCCTGCTTAATTAACTTGATCTCCTTCTATGACAAGATGACCCGAACAGTGGATGAGGGAAAGGCTGTGGATGTTGTCTACCCGGACTTTTGTTAAGCATTTGACACCATTTCCCACAGCATTCTCCTGGAGAAACTGGCTGGTCATGGCTTGGATAAGCATACGCTTCGCTGGGTAAAAAAATGGCTTCAAATGTTTATTCAACTTAAATTTTGTATCGTTGCTGTTCTAAGGTTTCTTTTACCTAATAGTTTGTGGTGTTGTGTTTGTTGCTAGTGTGTTTTGTTTGGGTTTTTTTTAAGGTTGAAGTTTACTTTAGAAGAACTGATGGAAAAAATGTATTTATGTAGCTACTTCAAATTTTCCAAGTGAAGGACACCTTTTGTGTAGTTGCTCTTTTACCCAAGACAGTCTTGAGGGTGGAATCCTTTCTTATGGCCACATGGTGGTAGCACTACAGGGTCTTCACTTGGACGTCCTAAGAAATCACAACTGTTAGGATCAGGACCAAGTAGTTTAAGAGAATAAGCTTTACAGACAAGAACGTCTTGTAGGATTTTTGTTTCTTTTCTAGCAAGCACTTTCTTTTCTAGAATTTTCAAAGAGCAAAGGACATTATATAAGAAAAAAGAAAATTATAATATCATGAAAATAGTTGAGTTCTGATGAGAAAAAAGCCAAATGGCCAGGGAAATATCAAAAGCACACATCCTCGTGCACATACTTCCTTACATAAATGGCAAGAGAGAAGGTTTTTTTTCCTTTAAAGATACTAAACTAACATTTTGGAGGAGTCGCCAAATACCTGAAAAGACAATACAGTAAACTCAAAGATCAGCATCAGAATACAGGTACCGGAAGAGCCATGCTGTCAAGTCTGACTTCATAAAAACGGTATCACAAATTTCCATGTTTGAAGATTAAATCTGGTTCTTCTGTCCTGATGTCCTTCAAGAAATCATCTGTTATCTGTAAATTAAAATGCCCACTCTTCTTGGCACAAACAATAAACATTTTGCAAACAAAAGAGTAAACAGTTCTACTGATTACACGAACTTACAACATGGTGATAACGTCATCAGCAAGTGAATTAACAGAAATAACAGTTAGAAAGTCTTACTGCAGTCACCAATGTCAGCTGGTACAGATCTAAATACACACTGCAAATTCTACCCAGTTACTTTCACGCTTTGGTAGAAGATACTCTAGCACTAGTTTGACCTTTATTCTGGTGATCAAAAGCCATTATTGCCGTCCAAAGAGAAGTCAGCATCCATCGAAAGACTCTAAGCCTTCACGCTTACTAAGAGGCCAACGGACGAAAAGATAATATTTGTTTTGATAAGGCAAACTTTACTCTGTAAATCAATGAGCTGCTGTCTTTACTATGTAAGCAGATCAAAGCAATTGTACAAGCAAAGGCATAAGTCTTCCCACTACTTTTTAATAAGCAGGGAGATTCAAACTCAGCAGTACCTGAATGCTATTGATGACATCCGCAGCTAGTTAAGATAGCATTTTCCATGTTTATTTTTGATTCACAAGTACTTTGCAAATTTCATGTCACAAATCCCAGCTAGAAATGAACTGGTACAACTATGTTATATGTCACAGCACCTTATGGCAAGCTACAAGCTAAACAGAACAAAAGTTTGCCTGTGACTGCAATTTTGGTAAAAATCCAGGTAAGTTTTAGAAATTCCAATTCCAGAAACACGAATGGAAAAAGGTGGCAAAATGTAAATTATTTTCTTATACGAATATTTTTATTTAAATGATTAGGTCCATATAGCAATGAAACACTTAAGAAGTTGGAGACAAATTGAGGTTCCAGGACTGAATTGAAGAGAAAGGGGATTTGAATCAGTCACCTACATGTCAAATGAATGCTCTAAATCCATTATATAGAGAGCATCAACCCTACTACTTCCACTGCCACTACATTCTCAATGTTGTAAATGCTGTCTGTCTCATTTTGTGAACTACTGCCTTTAGTTCCAAATTTTATTTCATTAAAAATGCCCAGGCTGTTAATGTCCTTCTCTCCACTCCCACTCAATAGCAGTGACAGGGAATTATAAACAAGCCTTATGTGGATCTCCTTGGTTTTATCATTAAAACAGGCAGTCAGAAACATAACTGGACTAGATCCTCTCAGCCCCAAGCTTATGCTCCCAGCATTCAATGGAAAACTGACCCTGAAGCATCTGTTCCAACAATAGTTTCCTTGGGCCTCATTTCTCCCTGTACAACCACAAAGTGCACTAGGAGAAAAGACATACAGCATTAGGAGAAAGGTGAGAGCAGGAAAGGAGAGGACAGACACTCGGCTGCCTGTGAGCTTTTTTAAGATCACTTATTTCATCACTTTCCCCCAATGTGTCTCGCCACCCAAGTATTCCAGAGTACCATGACAAAATGAGACATTACCACCACACAAGGAAACGGTGAGCGATGGGCTCAGCATTCACAAGGTGAATGAATTGTAGTTAGGGATTTGAAGACAACACACAAAGTTGTCTGCTCCCTAAACCTGGGAGAAAGCATGCAAGCTAAAAATGGGACAAGGGAAAGGGGGAAGCACTGGAAGCAAGGATAAGGCATGAGCGCATGGAGCCTTGCTATGAACCATGCAAGCAGACAGTTGAGAGCTAGGGGTCAGAATCAGAGAGGAGACCAACAAAGACGGTGCCACAGTGGATGTCTGCTCTGGGCTGTCTGATCAGGAAGAGGGAGTGGATGAAGCCTCATTCAAACAACCAGAAGCCACCTCATGATTGCAGGCCATGATCCTCACAGGGGACTTCAAATGTCCTGATGTCTGCTCAAGCAGAAACAAACACAGAGAGCAACAAGCAATCCAGAGCAAGTGCCCTGGTGACATTTTTTTGCCAGAGGTACCAGACATCCCAGCTAAGGCTGGTCTTCTGCTGGACACATTATGGGCAGGAAGGAACTGTCTGAGAATGTGGTAGCTGATGGCATCCTCAGCTGCAGTGGCCACCAATGACAGAACTTAAACACTGAAGGAAAGTGATAAAGGCAAGTGGCAGAAGAGAAATCTGGACTTCAGGACAGTAGGCTTTGGTTTATTTGGGGTAGACAAGAAGCTGTCCTGACCTGAAAAGGTGCTCAGAAGAGGCCATTGATCTATAAGGACAAACTCCTGAATGCTTTAGAAGGGTAACAAGGGCTTTACCACTACAGAAGCAACAAAAGACTAAGAAAATCCTCGCCTGCTGCCAAAGGTGATGGGCACAAAGGACTCGGATCATCCTGGGCCATACATCACATTTGCTTTGAAAATCAAAGACCTGTCAAAAAACGAAGTTGAGTATACAAATGCTCTGATAATACGTTATCACAAACTTTCACATAAACATGTGATTATTTTTGTTAAATCTTCTTTTATTAAAAAAAAAAATCAACTATTTCAGAACTGTTTATCACAGGAATCAAATTTCATGTTTTAGACACACCGATCTTGCAGATTAACAAAGATGGTCCTCTTCTCTCAAGGAAAAAAAAAGAGGGAAGAGAGATGGACTAAAATATTCTGATGTTATGAATTCAAAAACACGGTATTTTGTCTACATATTAAAAACTAAGTGTTAAATCAACCTGGAGACAAATTAAATACACCAGATATCTTCAAATAATCATAAGTTGCTAAAGACAGTTTAGAAAGCTTATAAATGCTATTTCCACTAGAACTCATTGCTTCCTTATCTTTTAGCTCTAACTACTGCATTTCCCAGCACAACTGTTCTAGTTCCACCACAGTTCTAGTTCAGGGCACACAGCGAAACTTGCCACCAAAATCTGTATAAAGTCTTCTACAATATGGAATATTCGATCACATTAGCACTGATCATTTATTAAGAACAGCATTATCACAAATAATGTGTAAACTCCCCAGTACATCACCTCGTATATATATATTTAGCATAAATAGTTCCTGCTCAAGGAGGCTTACAATTTACAGGAGATTAAAGTTCCACATTCACAAAACTCCCAAGTATTTCAATAAACATTGCTTGTTTTAACAACTTGGGTGATAACAATCTCTCCTTTCCTCAGTGAGAAAACACCCAGTAACTTCCTCTGGTCATCATAAGTTGAAATAATATAGATAGCAATAATGCAAACTTGCAAAGGAATCAGCATTCAAGACAATGATGTCTGAGCTACGCAGATATGTTTGCAATCATATTTTCATTCTGCATATTATGTTAATTTCTATAGTTTAAACCATAAAATTCATACAAACTATCCAAGCTCAGTCCAGAAGACTTGATGGGTCAAGTCCCATCAGCTAAACATTTGAGTATGTCATTCACATGTGTAATTGCTTACTGTAAGTTTATTACTTACTTTCCATCTACTTCTGGTCTCTTGCACACACAGTGAAACTTGCCACCAAAATCTATATAAAGATCATCTTCTACAACATGGAATATTCGACCAATGGCAATTTTATCTTTGGCAGGTCCCATCTGAATTAAAGGAGAGCGTCTCAACATGGATGCAAAGGATTCCGATTTCTCTGAAGGAACCTACAGATAAATAAATAAATATATAAAAACATTTCACAAAACATACTATCTGAAGGTGGAATTAAATTTGACTTGTAACATACAAAAAGGCTTTATTTATAAAATTGCAAGTACAGACTTCATGTGTCTAGTGCATTTTTAGCAAGACTTCTAAGGAGGCATCTGGTACATTTCTCCAAGTCCAACATTTTACACTTTAAAAGTAAAACTTTCATTAATTCAGTCACACAAAAACATAACAATTTGCATCTCCTGAAAACACTGCTAAGGTAAGTTGATTTTAAAATGCATTCCAAATATTGAGAGATGTTCTTTCCAGGATTATCTCCTACCTCTTTGTTATCTCCTCGGTGAAAACTAAAACAGAATTAGTAACTTGCAGCTATTCATGCAACTATTTAACAATGAGTAATACTTAACTCTTTATTTTAAAGAGCAAAACCATTCCAAAGCAGCAAAAGTAGAAAGCATGCGCAGGACTGATCTAATACATAAAAAAAATCAAACCACCCTTTTCTTTCATCTTCTCTCTACATTAACAAGGTAAATATTTTAATTCAGTAACTAAATAAACAAAATGTCAGTTCCTTCTCATAGAGCTTTGGGAAAATGGGAGAACATAAATCCTCCTGCTCTTCCTCATGGAGACATCTCTGTTCTGTGATCTGACTATCACAGGCTTCCCATCATATGCTAGGTGAAAATACCCAGCTATATCAAAGTGAGACTCATTCACACATATGCTTTCCTCAATATAGTATATTTGACCACTTTTTAAGATTACTGCCTTTGAAATACATTTAGTAAGAAAAGCCTTCTTGCCAGTAACGAATGAAAGGGCAGCTGCATTTTAGAACCAATATGTACTGGTAATCTGAAAGTGAATTTAAGGAAAACATTTTATAGATGGATAAACAGATTCAAAAAGAAGAGAGTCTATTAATTTTCCCCTGCGTTTAGCAGTAATTAACTAATATAATAATTACTTCACACAAGATTTGAGACTATTTTCAAGCCAGCAGAAGAACCCAACAGAACAAAATAAGCAAGCAATTAAAGTTTGAGAGATCTGTTGGCTTCAACGACACAATTTTCCACTCACTACTTCAAGCGGATCCTGAAAATCCATCTATATTTTGTATGAACAGAGAATAATGCCACCATTTTCTATTTGCACATTTGGAAACTTTTATTCTTGGGGAAGTCAAAACAAGAGATAGTTTTGAATTCCAGCCCTGCTGGAAGGCGCAAACAGCGTGGGTTGTTCTGCTGTGACGTAGCCTCGGGAATTACAAGCTAGAGATCTGACACCTGGTAAATTTGAGGCTTCAGAAACAGGAACTGTTAAATGTAGCATCCCAAGGAGAAGGGCTGAACAACATGCAACACACACACATGCATGCACACACCCCACAAAAAAAGAGCAGCTGGTGATGGTAAATCACAAACAGAGCAGTAGGATTTTATACAGGAAAGCTAATATCTGATAAGGTTCCAAACATAGGATTGTTTGAATTTCACAATGCAGTCTAAATTCCAATACATGAAAACTAATTGTACAGGATGCATTTGTAAGTGCTCCAAGAATAAATGAAAAATAGTGGAAGCAATAAGAGGAAGTATTTAAATGAGATTTATTATATGAATTGCAGGGGCAGAAGCGATTTAGATGCAACTTTATATCAATGTATAAGCCATAAGCTAACAGTAAACGTTTAAAAATTAACATCCCCTCAAAACTACTGTGTCTGGGCAGGAGATTATAAATCAATCCTCATACTGAAATGCCAAAACGTGTTTTAAGGGAAACTGAGGTACGACAATGCGCGAAATTCAGTGGTCTTCCACTGACTTTCTCACTATGAACTCACTGGAGTTTGCAGAATCACCCGACTGCCTTGGAATTCAATTGCTTGCTCCTGTAAAGTAACAAACACTTTACCATCACCCTGTATGCTCATAAATATTCGTTTTCAAAGATGATACATCTCTTCTTAGTTGTTCAACACCAAGTTACAGCAGTGAAATACAACACAACTCCATAGTAAATGACTCTATCCATTGAGTTGATCTTTCAATACCCTACTTCCCTAACCAGCATTATCCCATTTCTCCATCCTTCACTCCCAACCTAACTTGATTTGTCTGAGGAAGATGATGCCAATGAAACCAATCATCCAAAAGCGACAGCATGAACACTCACAGCAGAGGATTTCCAGCAGACATTCAGTCTCTCAGATGGAGCAGCTGAGTGCTACATAGGAAAACAACTTTCCCAAGTAAGAGTTAACATTATCACAAGCAGGGATGCCTGCAGGGAATTAAGAAATGCACATAGTGTAAATACAGAAGGGCAGCATCTATGATACTGAAGAGACAGACACAAGCACAGTATCATCAACTGGCAGAGATGCTGGCTCTTCAGAAACTGGTGTTTTAGAATAAATCATCCTTCCAAATACTTTACTTGCTCCATCTATGAGACCAAACATCTGACAAAAATCTTCCTGGGGTCCTCCAAAAACTCTGTTAAGTCTTCTTAATTTAGGACACAGGTCTGTAAGTGTTTAACCAATCAAGCTGGCACTGCCATGCCTCATCCTGCCCACTCCGCTCCCTCCCAGACAGAACTTCTCTCCCCTTATGCCACCACTGAAATTTGTCCTAACCTGGAGTAAGCCCATTTCAGGAAAGTAACAAACAAAAGCTATTTACTTTCTTGTAAGGACAGTTTTCTGTTGGTCTGGTTTCCAAACTAGATCACCAAAGAACCAAGTGAGTATCAGGATGAACAAACGAGAGCGTGAGAATTCCTACAAACAAGGGTAAAGATAAGAACATGGCAGCAATATATAAACTCAGGATGATAAGGACTACTACATTTCATCCTGGAATATTTTCAGTTATCCTTCATAGCAAGGCAAACTAATAAGAAAATTGGTCTAGGAAAAAACAAAAACAAAAACAAAAAACACCTCCCAACACACAAACACAAACCAAAAAGCCCACAAAGAAAGGCAAATATTATCGTTTGCAGGCTTATATATATATATACACACTCCACAGCTAAGTTCAGGTATCAGGGAGAGAGCAGCTTTGTTTTCATATTTCACCAGGATGTGAGGAGGTCCACCTATGGTTTGGATTAATTTAATGAACACTAGTGGATTCAGACATTACGCTAGATGATCCATCACCATCAACTGAACTGCCTTTTCTTATATGTAGATCATGTGGAAAAAGTCTGAGCAAGTAGAGAGGATCAAGACAACTTTGGAGATTTTTCCTAAGTTGCCTAGAAAGATGACATTAGTAATGGCCATTGAACATACTGAGTAACACTGAGCTTTTTTTTTTTAAAGCAATAATACAATTCACAGTAAATTCCTTCATCTCTTGGCAATTACGCTCATTAAATGGCATTCACGTCATTCTTGTTGCCTTCATATGATGGTGCACACAGTAGGCTCTCTACCCTAAGAAAACCCAATTTGTTGCTTGTGAAATATTTATATCCACATGAAGATCACTACACTAATATCCTATGGATTTCCTGGTTTTATCACCTAAAAATGGTCCATTCTAGTTAATAACATTCCTCTCCTTTATGTCCCTGGCAGAAAAAAACCTACAGATACAAAATTCTCCCATGTGCATAGCTGCCTGTGAAATAATCTCTGTACATGACACACAAGTGCTCTCTTTACACACTAACAGACGTGCTCAATCCTTACCAGAACAGAGATTCAACTCACCCAGATACAGATGCTAATGTACAAAGAAATCCTCAGCCATTCTTCACTGTGGACAGTTTTCCAAGAAGCCACTGGGAATCTGCCCGAATTCTATCACAGGTCTACAAGTCTGCCATGTTCTCCATTCTGCTTCCTGGAAAGGAACTTCTCAAGAGGACAAATATCTAATTTATGTATACGAGAATCCTCAAGAGATTCCATTGGTTACTGCCATCAAGGATTCTTTTGTGCACAGTCTGAAAATGGAGTAAGCTAAAATACAGTATTTTCTCTAGTTTTCTGCATAACCTAAAGGAGATCTCATTAAACAGAAATTTACCTCAAGCATTTAAAGAGCTTTAATGACATTTTGAGTACTTTCCTCCAGAACTTCTAAATCTCCTTAACTGGATTCCCTGCAGTAGCACTACAGAAAAACAGTAAGACAGTAAGACAACAGAGCAACATACTTTATTAAGCACTCTACTTTTGCGATTCTCAAGGAGTGTTGGCTATGCAGCTGTGATAGATAATGCATCAATAACACGTCAAGTTGTGAAAATTGGAGAATATTACAAAATTCAGAAGCACAAAGGGCACATTCTTTTCAAGTACCTGAAGTATATCGGCTTTTTGAATTCCTCCGTCTTACATGCCTAACCTGTTTGATTTTTCCTTCTAATTTCTAGGTTTTTAAGTTTTTCACAAATATTTGTATGCCTTTCATTTTCTGTGCACATAGTTCAATAAAAAATAGTAGCTTTCTCAATATCAGAATACTCTGCAACATTATATATATTAACCAGAGTGTGGAAAAAGTCATAGATTTAAACCCCAGTCAGATCCAAACGAAAGTAGTAACTCCAACGGAGGAAGGCAACATACTACTTCTGGAGCAACATCTATGACTGTACAAGCAGGGTGGTCCTATCCCACCCACTGAGCAGTTTGTCTTTAAACCCCAGCTACGTTTTATGTTTGCTTGCAAAAGCAAGTGGCATGCACATTGGAATGCGAGAGATATGGATGAAACATGGAGAAGTAAGATGGGCGATTGATAATCTGACCGCTACAATTAAGGGGTGAATGACATATTAACATCAAGCAGCAAGCAAAGAATGCAACCCTCTGTGATGATCAAATTTGTCTTCCTCAGCACTGTCATTCACAGCTAGGAAGATTTCTCTGTCCAATGTTAGTTACACAAAACAACAAAATGGGAAAACTGATTTTGCAATAACAGGTTAGTACAATAGCTAAAGGCCC